AATAGCCTCCCAAACCCTCTGCACGCCTCATTCTCCTGTGCGCTGCTTGGGGAATCCAAGCATGGGTTAACTTTGTCCATTAGCCTCGAGACTGAGTTGTGCAAATTGCTGGACACACCTCCTCTTACTGGACTGGTTCAGTTTTTTAACTCAGTCCAGCCTAAAGAGACGCAAAATTATTCTCTCTGGGTTACTAGACAAATTCATCATTATTATTATTATTATTCAGCTTCCCTTCACCAGCTTTGAGTTTTTTGCAAAAAGAAAAACCATGCAGAGCTTTGGGAGGCTTGTAGAGTGGTCCTGGGGGCTGGGAGGGGCAAAAATGCCCCCCCTTTTTTTGGCTTGTTTTTGCCCTCCCCAGCCTCCCAGAGCACTTTGCAAGCCTCCCAAACCTTCTGCATGTCCATTTTTGCAAAGGGGGCAGTGTTTTGGTAGGCCAAAAATGCTGTATTCAGTGTATAAGACGCACCCAGATTTTCACCCTCTTTTTTGGGGGGGAAAGGTGCTTCTTATACTCCAAAAAATACGGTAGTAACCGTTCGAAGTTACAACGGCAGTGAAAAAAAGTGGCTTAGGACCATTTTTCACCCTTATGACCGTCGCAGCATCCCCAGGGTCATGTGGTTTACATTTGGACGTTTCGCAACTGACTCATACCTACGACGGTTGCAGTGTCCCGGGGTCATCTTGTCCCCTTTTGCGACCTTCTGAGGAGCCAAGTCAACGGGGAAGCCAGATTCACTTAACAAATTGCCTTCCTCACTTAATAGCCGCAGTGATTCCTTTAACAGCTGCGGTAAGGAAGATCATAAGACTCAGTTAACATACCTCTCACTTAGCAACATACATTTTGGGCTCAGCTGTGGCCGTAAGTTGAGGGTGGCCTGTATCCTTTTTGATTGTTGGTTCTCTAATTGGCCGGTTTTCCCCTCCCCCAGTCAGCAACGAGGAACTACGAGGCAGAACTCAAGAGGCAGCTTCCCAAGTCCTTCAGTGGGTGAGCTTTGCTGACAGCGACATTGTGCCCCCAGCCAGCACCTGGGTCTTCCCCACCCTTGGCATCATGCAATATAACAAGCAGGTAAGAGGCACTCCGGTTTTATAGGAGAAGAGGTTTCCCAACCATCTAAAAAAGCTACAAGGGGGCAGGAATCACTTTGCTTGGGAGAGATGCCTTATTGTTCTGACCCAGCTCCCCAAAGACGACATACTGTCTGACGTGAACTCAAAAGATTCCTTTAATTCGGAGTCCCGGCAAAAGGTTTCTTTCTCAATGCAGGTTAAGAAATCCATCAAGCAGGGAGATGAATAGTTGTCTGCCACATCTATTCGTCTCTGCCTCCTGCCTTTTATCCCCAGAGCTAGGGCTGGGCTTCAGGTGGCTCTTCCAGCCCAAGGACCGGCCCATAGATTTCCACTTCTCTCCTTTCCTCTGCCTTCTGCGCATCCATGTCAGGCATTAGGCCCAGCTGTTCCTCTTCTTCCTCATCAGCCACCTCCAGAGCCCTGGGGGCTCTTGACTCTCCATCGGAGGGCTGACGGACGGCCCAGGCTCCGCCTCTGTCCCTGACAGCTTCATTCTCTCTCCCCCCCCCCCCTCGGAGCTTGCCCTGATGCTGACCCTGACTGGAGAAGCTGGTGGCCAGAGGCCACAACACTTAAGTTTCATTAGTCATGAAGTTCAGAGTAGATAGCTATATTAAGTCATCGATTTACAACTTAGTTCCTTAGTGACTGAAGATACGATGAACCTTCCCGACATCATAACTTCAAACATTCACTAAGCAACTAAGTTATAAGTCGAGGAATTCTGTAGCTGTTTACGACTCAGTTCTGGCATCGGGGTGGGGGGACACCACACACCCGTGCTCACATGACCTGATGGGGGTCTTGTCCTTTCATTGCTTGAGGGAAAGGGAAAGGTTCCCCTCGCACGTAGGTGCTAGTTGTTCCTGACTCTAGAGGGTGGTACTCATCTCCGTTCCAAAGCCGAAGAGCCAGCGCTGTCCAAAGACGTCTCCGTGGTCATGTGGCCAGCATGACTCAATGCCGAAGGTCCACGGAACGCTGTTCCCTTCCCACCAAATGTGGTTCCTATTTTCCTCCTTGAATTTTTACCTGCTTTTGAACTGCTAGGTGGGCAGAAGCTGAGACAAAGAACAGGAGCTCACTCCGTTACGCAGCGCTAGGGATTCAAACCGCCGAACTGCCGATCTTTTATTAATGCAATATCAGGGATTTTCAATCCAATTGTATAGAATGTGAAGGAGATGTGTTTGTGTTTTATTTTATATGTCTAATGCAGTGTTTCTCAACCTTGTCAACTTGAAGATGTCTGGACTTCAACTCCCAGAATTCCCCAGCCAGCGTTTGCTGGCTGGGGAATTCTGGGAGTTGAAGTCCGGACATCTTCAAGTTGCCAAGGTTGAGAAACACTGCTCTAGAAGTTGTAAGTGCTCCATGATTGGAAGTTTTTAAGAAGAGACTGGACAGCCACTTGTCTGAAATGGCATAGGGTCTCCTGCCTGAGCAGGGGGTTGGACTGGAAGACCTCCAAGGTCCCTTTCAACTCTGTCATCCTGTTACGATTGCATTTTGGATACTGGGCAACTGGCCTGCATTTACGGCTGTTTGCAATGTCCGGTGGCCATGTGACCATGGTTTACAACCTTTCGTGTGTGCGTATGTGGTTGTAAAGCAAACACTGCTCGTTGAATAAATCCATTGTTGGTAACAAGCTCTTTTTGTCAGAAACTGGTTAGTTTCCTGCAAAGAATCAATTGCAGATTTTAAGACCTCGTTGTTCCCTTTGCAGTTGCTACATTTGCTTAGCGGTTTTAAATTGGTTTAGGATCATAATCCTGGGCTCCATCTCTTTTGTACGTTGACAGCAAGCAGGAATTATGCCACAGGTGCCTAGTCCTAGTTTTTCCCTTTTGTTGAAAGAGACGGATTGGGGGGTCGCTTGAGCTGAGATTTCCCGCCTTTTCTCCCTTTTCCTCCAGGTGCTGGAGCCCCCCTTCCGCCAGCCGTACGAAAATGTGACCCGTTGGTTTGTGACCTGCGTCAACCAGCCGCAGTTCAAGGCCGTCCTGGGGGACTTGAAGCTGTGTGAGAAGATGGCGCAATTTGACGGTCAGGAAATTCACCCCCGATTCTCGCTCTTAAATGGCCGTTCTGTCTTTTTAGGGCTGGGAAAGGATGGTGGGAGGTGGGATGTGTTGCGAGTAGCTTAACGCCACCCTTGGATGTAGCGTACCTTACCGTATTTTTTGGAGTATAAGACGCACCGGAGTATAAGACGCAGCAAGATTTTGAAGAGGGGGGGAGAATTGCACTCTACAATCACGAAATGTTTTTCACGAAAACAGCCTTTAGGGAGCTTGCAGAGTGCTCCNGAGTCAACCCTGAGCCGGTGAGATTTGAACCGCTGAACTGCTGATCTAGCAGTAGCCTGCAGTGCTGCATTTAACCACTGCGCCACCTCGGCTCTGGATGCTGGGTTGAACCATAGAAGACCTTCCAATTCTGCTGTTGCGTTATTCTGAGATGAGTGTTGTGGGAAGGTGGCTCTGGATTCGCATCCAGAAATGTTTAGGTAGATCTTCCAAGCCATGATTGCATGGTCCCAAGTGAATATTCCCGGGCCTTTTAACAGGTTCTAGTGCAAGGAGGAGAGGGGCCTGGTAGTAGCCTGATGGCGGGCGTGGTTCTGGAGAATGGAGCGCATAGAACCTAGCAGGCCAATGGAGAATTTTAAGTAGGAGATCAGGGAACCTTCTGCTGATGTTGCATTGCGATGGTGCCCACTCTTGCTTTGCAGTAGCAAAGTCCTCTGGCCAGCCCCACTGCAGAGTCACCTGCCAAGAGCTTGACCCTATTAGTTGAACAAATCAATGCAGACAGCTCGGCTTCCAGCTGCGGTAGGCAGGCTGAAAAAATCGATTTTAAGACTTGGAAAAGGCTACGTAGCACCTATTATGGAGTCGTGGCTTAACTTCTCGGGTATCCCTTAACCCTGTCGCTGCTTGCTCCCCCTGCAGACTCTCTACACTTACCCCGAGAACTGGCGGGCATTCAAAGCCCTCATCGCTGCTCAGTACAGTGGGGCCAAGATCAAAGTCCTCTCCACGCCACCCCAGTTCCACTTCGGGCAGACAAACAAGACTCCCGAATTTCTGAAAAAATTCCCAGTTGGAAAGGTGAGTGGCTGGTTTTCCCACCCCCCACCCCTTGCCTAACTCAAGTTACGCCATGGAGTTCGGGCTTTTCTTTTTGGTAGAATGGGAGATGTCTGTAATCTTCCTGTGTGATTTTGATTCTTGCTCGTTTCCAGGAGAATAGTTGGCTAGAGCTGTGAAAATTTTATTCATTCATTTATTTGCATCCAGCCTTTATTTTACAAATAACTCGAGGTGGGAAACGTGTCCGACACGCCCTTCCTCCTCCTATTTTCCCCAACAACAATCTTATAGGTTGGGCTGAGAGAGTGAATGGCTTTCCTGCATAAGGTGGCATTCGAACTCATCACCCTGCTGCTGTGATGACAAACCTTTTTGGCACTGAGTGGCCGCAACCTGGAAGAGCAGCTGCCTAGGAGGCATGCGTGCACTGGAAAATGAACTTCTGTTTTCCGGCACGTGCATGCCTTCCGGTAACTGGCATGCAGGGATGTGTGGCGATCACTACCTAGCGCGCATGCTCACACGGAAAAACAGAAGACCAGCTTTTCCAGTTTCCGGCACTGCCGCATACACGAAGGTCAGCTGATCGTTGCGGGCGCACGCGTGCCAGAAACCCGGAAGAGGAGCAGGTGACACCACGTGCCCTAGGTGACATGGCTCCACATGCCACTTTGGGCACGTGTGCCATAGGTTCGCCATCCCAGTACTAGAGCAAACTACCATATTTTTCAGAGTGTAAGTTGCACCAAGATTTTGAAGGGGCAAATTTTTTAAAAAACCAAGTTTTTGCACTCTGCAGACCTCCCAAAAACAGCCCCCCACTTTCTTTTTTTCAAAAAAGGGCATGCATAGCCTTTAGGAGACTTGCAGAGTGCTCCTGGGGGGGGAGGAAGAGGCCAAAAACAAGCAAAAAAACTTTTTTTTGCAGAAAAGGGGCCCCTTTAGGTTAGCCTTTAGTAGGCTTAGAGTGCTTCTGGGGAGGGGGGGGCAAAAAAGGGCCCGTTTTTTCCTCACTTTTGCTCTCCTCAGCCCCCAGAAGCACTCTATAAGCCTTCTAAAGGCTATGCACTGCCATTTTTGCAAATGGGCGGGGTTTCGCGAGTCAAAAAATGCTGTATTTAGTGTATGATGCACCCAGATTTTCAGCCCTTTTTTGAGGGAAAAAGATGCATGTTATACTCTGAAAAATATGCTAGCTCCCTAAGAGCCTGGGACTAGTTTTTTTTTTTAAAAAAAAACTAGCCTCACACTGGGATGCGATGATCCGTGTATCCAGCAGATTTGGTGCATCTTCAGAATAAGCCAGGATCCTTTTTGGGGTATCACTCCAATTACATAACCGAGCAAGTTAATGATACTTTTCAGTTGGTCTTGTTGAGGCAATGCTGTATCCTCCAGATCAGCATTTCTCAACCTTGACCACTTTAAGGATACATGGACTTGATTGCCCAGAATTCCCCAGCCAGCCATGGCTGAAGGATTCTGGGAGTTGAAGTCCACGCATCTTAACATTGCCACGATTGAGAAACATTCCTCCAGATTTAACAACAATAGCAGTTTCCTGTCAACATTATTGCTTCCTGTGGATTGTGGGAAATTAAATTGCAGCTCCCTACATTTTATTTAAATATCATAAAAACCTTTCTGGTAATAAGATCTGCACAAGTACACGGTACCTATTGGGTTGCGGGTTTTCCACCTCTAGGGATTTTTAAGAATAGGCAATGTCTCATAGTTTAAATCGACATTTCTCAGTTTCAGCAAGCTGTTTTAAGTTGTGCTGGCTGGGGAATTCTGGGAGTTGAAATCCCAAGTGCCTTAAAATTCTTGAGGTTGAGAGACAGTGCTACAGATGGCATCTGCTGACTCCTTTGGAGGAGACCCGTCTGTCTTCTCACAGAAGTTCTTTTCCTAACCCTCTATAGGTCCCAGCCTTTGAAGGAGATGATGGATTTTGCATATTCGAGAGCAACGCCATCGCACACTACGGTAAATATATGCCTCTGCTTCCCAGTTTTATCCAAAATCTCGACTCAGTGTTGGGTCAGGTTTATAGCAAACTGACTTACCACATTTTTCGGAATATAAGACGCACCGGACTATAAGACGCACCAAGGTTTTGAAGGGGCAAATTGGGCCCAATTTTTTTTTTTCCAAAAAAAAGGGCATGAATAGCCTCCCAAACCCTCTGCACGCCTCATTCTCCTGTGCGCTGCTTGGGGAATCCAAGCATGGGTTAACTTTGTCCATTAGCCTCGAGACTGAGTTGTGCAAATTGCTGGACACACCTCCTCTTACTGGACTGGTTCAGTTTTTTAACTCAGTCCAGCCTAAAGAGACGCAAAATTATTCTCTCTGGGTTACTAGACAAATTCATCATTATTATTATTATTATTCAGCTTCCCNTTTTCCCACCATAGAAAATGCATAGTAGAATAACAGAAAGTGTGGCAGGCCAAAAACCCATCAGAAAAGATGGCTGCAGGCCTGACATCTATTTCTATTGATTTCTATTTCTATTCCATTCCATATTTTCTGTCCTAACTCCTACTATTGTATTCTGCTTGTAGGAATCCATTATGCAGAATTGATTTTTCATCCTTTATAGCAGTGGTCCCCAACTTTTAATACTTTTGAGAGCTGGGGGTGTAGGGGAGACAGGAAATGGTTCCATGCAAGCCTGCAGGCCGCTCACACACACACACAGCTCCATTAGCACAAGCGGTGGGCACTTGCGTGTGCCATTCACACAAACGGAGAGAGTGCCCACTACTCATGCAAAGAGGCCACTGCCCGGAAGTTGGGGAACCCTGCTTTCCATATAGTCCTCGACGTGCAACCGTTCATTTAATGATTCAAGCTTACAATGACATTGAAAAAAAAAGTGGCTTGGGGCTGTTTTTCACTCTTAGAACTGTTGCCGCATCCCCAGGGTCATGTGATCAAAATCCAGATGCTTGGCAACCGACTCGTATTTATGATGGTTGCAGTGTCTCCTTTTGCGACCTTCTGACAAGCCAGGTCAACACGGAAGCCAGTTTCACTTAATAACCATGTTCCTAATTTAGCAGCTGCATCGATTCACTTAACAACAGTGGCAGAATGGGGCAAAACTCACCTATCAAATGTCTCACTTGGCAACAGAAATCTTGAGCTCGACTGTGGTCGTAAGCCGAGGACTGTCTGTATCGAAAGCCCGCCAATCTTAGGAAAATGGACTTGGAAGAAATTGCGTGCCTTTTATTGTCCATTTCTGCCTTTGGGCTCTGCAACTTCCAGAACTAAAATTAGAAACACGAAGTAGGAAAGGGTCGTATTTCATATTTGCTCTGCCAGCTGAAAGGAGGGATGGTTCCCAAAATTGGGGGCAGTTTTAAACGTTTTCTAAAGCCCCCCCCCCATGCACTTTATAGGGTTCGACCTGTAGCACATTTTGAGTCACCCTGTTTTTGAAAAGGTTGCCAACTTTTTCTGCAAATTCAACTGCCTGATCAAATGCCCCCTCGTCATAGCTTAGCCGCTGAAGGAGTTTCCTAGCTGGAAGCCTTCCCCTTCTCCCTTGGAGGTCTTGGGAATTAAGCGGCTGGAATGAACTTCCGCAGATAACCTTGATTTATTTTGTTACCTTTATTTGCTGCCTCTCTCGCCGTGGGGTTGCTGCAGGCCAGGGACGGCGAACCTTTTCGGCACCAAGTGCCCAAATTCGAATGCGCGCAGCGGAAGACCAGCTGGCTGGGAGCGCATGTGTGTGCTGGTCTTTGGGTGTCCGTCATGTGCGCCAGACAACTGGTTTTTGAGAACCAGAAACCCCAAGACCAGCTGACATGCGCACAGAGGGTGCTCAGTGTGTCACCTCTGGCACTTGTTCCATACGTTCTCCATCACTGCTCTAGGCACCTTTGAAAAGCCTGTAAACAGAAATCAAATCATCTTTTAACGACCCCACCATCCCTTGCGGGGTGGAATCTGGGCAACTGAATGGAGCTAGCCCAGTGTTTAATAGCCGGATGCCCTTCCTGTCGCCAATGCAGGGTTATATTCCGCAGATATATTCTCATTGTGCCCAGAGAAAGAAATAACCTGCCTCTGTCTGGGATCAAATTCACAGCCTCCTGATTGTGAGCCGAGAGCTCTGCCTCTAAGCCACTGCACCAGTTCTAACATGTGTGCCGGCCAACTTCCGACGCTCTAGTACGCACGCATTCCTATTTGGGCACTAAGTGCCAAAAAGATTCACCATCACTGCTCTAGAAAGAGTGTAGAGAAGAGCAACCAGGATGATGAGGGGACTGGAGGCTCAAACATCCGATGAATGGTTGCAGGAACTGGGCCTGGCTAGTCTAGGGAAGGGAAGGACCAGGGGAGACAGGAGAGCATCTTCCAATATTTGAGGAGCTGCAAAAGAGAGAAGGGGGTCAAGCTATTTTCCAAAGCACCCCAAGGCCAGACAAGGAAGAATGGATGGAAACTGACCAAGGAGAGATTCAACCTGGAAACAAGGAGGAGTTTCCTGACCGTGAGAACAATCAACCCATGGA